TTATTATTATTATTATTATTATTATTATTATTATTATTCTACAAAACTGCATACGGTACCGTCTTCAAATACTTTTCTGGCATTATCGAGCTTAAGCCTCCTCAATTTTCCTTTGAATTTTTCAATGTCTTTTTCACAAATTATCAGCCTGTGTTCTAAATCGCTGATCATACACCAACTATCAACATAGTTCATGTTTGGAATATTAATATTCCCATCGATTGCTTCTATGTCCTTGTTCTTCAATTCAAATCCGAACATCACGATTTTTTGCCTGTAGGGTGAGAACCTTGAAAAAGGGCTATCATCATCAATAGGCCTAATATTTGGGATTGACGGTAAAATTTCCTTAATTTCTTCCTCCAGCCCTTCTTGCATAGTGAGTTCTATGGTTTCATATAGTAAAGTAAGGTCAGTCGGACTGAGATGACCAGCACCATACAATAAATTCAAAATGTCAACCGTTCTTGTAGCGTTGGACAAATTATTAGTTGCTAAATGGTCTTTGAACACAACTTTCAGCATACTGACTAATTTATTGCGGTCATACCAACTTGAAACAACTGCTTTGATGTCGTTAAACTTTTCTTTAGATATTCCTATAAAATGAAGATATTTAATAATGAATTTATATACTGTAAGATTTTCTAAATTAGTGAATGCTTCTTATTTATCATAAGAAATGATTTCGGGAATGATATACGTAAACAAGGATCATGTTGAAACCAGATCAATAAGACAATAAAGAACAGTTTCAACGATTGTTTTAAGAGGTCTTCATCCGCATCCTTATCTCTATTTAAAAGTAGGCGTGACAACCTGAGACCGTCGTACGACCGTCCACGGCGATTTCAACTCCACTCACTGAAATGACAGTCTAAAGAGAGCGCGTCGTGGTGGCACTTGGTCCTTTCGTAAACCCGCCGGGCCCAAAATTATGTAGTTTCTATAGGCATGTGCTAGAATTTCGAGTCGTATACGCAAGATTGTGGAAAGAAACCCAATCTATAACGAGTATTTCCTCCCTGGACAGAAAGTGTACAGATCACACACGACGTAATTATCATTACAAAGGACCTAGCCTAGGTTTTCTTTTAATTGATAGGGCCTATAACCGAAGCAGATGCTATGCTAGCCTAAGCCTTTTTTTATTCTAAATCTTAATCTTAAATATCGCATTATTTCTTCCCATGCAATCAAGGCATAAATTATAGAGGGCGCTACCTAAGGTCATATAGGTGAACTGATAACATGATGCATAATTGACTCCCCCCCCCCCCAACATTCGCTAGAGTCCCGAGCAGTGTTCGATGCTTTGTGGAATATGGAAGCTACGGCGTAGGCCAAAATATCATATCTTGGTAGTCGGTTGAGACAGCAGTCCAATCGACACAGCGAAAATTAATGAACTATTAGTATTGTAATTATAATATCCAAATATGCGTGCCTTACGTACAACATGGTCTTTTAAAGTAGCGTTGAATTTGGTCGGTTACTTGAGTAGTGTAACATAAGCAATACATACTAACTGCTATCATAATACTACTGATGCTGAAGGATATATAACATTTAGAAATGCTCGGACACAGGTGTTAAGACAAATCTATGTATTGTTTTAATGTTGGTTTCGTACAAACATTGCGTTCATATTTTTTATGAATAAAAGTAATGGTCATAGACTTATATATCCAGCAGATATATTATATTACATTCATTTTAACAAATCCCGATACACATACACACACACATGCTATGATGTACTGTTTATTAAAGGCTCTCTACCAAATTAAAAATTGAATGGCTTACTTAAAACCATTAAAATAAGACTTTTACTAATTTACAGACGGTTCTACAAAAAAAAAAATCTTAAATGTAATACCAGACAATGAATCATGCAAAAAAAAAAAAAAAAAAAAAAAAAATCAACGCCCACTGTCTGTTGAGGGTTTTTTTTTCCTCATAAAAATGTTTAATTGTAAAATTGTAAGTTAACTGTGTCCGAAGTACCCGTAATAAGTTTGTCTCCGAGCATTTTTTTATCCTGCAGAATCAGTACTACTATGAAGTGGGGAGGGGGAGTATAATTGCTACAACACATGTCATATCTATGCCAAATATAGCAGGCCTATATTGTAGGCCTACCAAATAGCCAGATTCAATATCACTGTGCCTTATTTATACTTTCAAAGACCATGCTGTACATAAACTGTGTTTAGTCACAGTGATAGTATAGTAACAATATTATGCATAGTCCATTAATTTTCACAATGCCTTAAATACCAAGGTCTATTTAAGAGATTTTAGCCTATTTCTTTTATACTTGGTTTTTCCCGTTGTAAAATATCAGGATATCGGTGTTCGCATAATATTTTATAGCACTCTATAAAAGCATGGCACGGTGGGTTTACGTAGGGGCTGTATCACCCACTAATGTTACAATCAACCACTAATGTAACATTAACCACTGTTGTAACAAAAATCAACCACTAATGTAACATTAACCACTATTGTAACAAAAATCAACCACTGTTGTAACAATTTCATTAACCACTATTGTAACAATGGTTTAACCACTGTTGTAACAAAATTCATTAACCACTATTGTAACAAAAATTTAACCACTAATGTAACAACGTACAATATATAGAAGTCTCCAGGCCAAAAGCTAATTTACATTGTCCTATTAAAATTTCACATTATGATTGTTGTGGCATTTAAAAAAATATATAATTTTCGATATAGATCAGATTTATTAAAATGGTTTGAGACATTGTAAATATATAGTTTGGATATTTAAAGGTCAGTGTTCATGAAAAACAGTAAACAGCTTGGTTCCCAAATTTCTGTTTATATATATATATGTATATATATATATATATATATATATAGATATATATATATATACCAACACAAGCCAATACAAATGAAAGATGTGATATTCAATTCAATTCAATTCAAAATAAATTTATTCCAAATCTTTTCAAAGCATAGATAAACAGTACAGATATAAAAATAGAAATGTAAAGGGCAACCACAAACAAGCAGAGCTTTACACTAGTGGCGCCCGAAAAAAAAGTAATTAAGAAACTACTTCAAATTGACAAAGTAAGTCAAGGTATACATTTTAATTAAAGCACTTTCATATCATAGATCAAGATAATAATACTAATAATAATAATAATAATAATAATAATAATAATAATAATAATAATAATAATAATAATAATAATAATAATAATAATAATAAGAATAAGAATTAAAATAAGAATAACCAGATAGTGAAGTGTGAAGGGGCAAAAAAGTATTATTTAATGAAATGGGGCTGCACAAATAACCGACTGATTGACAGACTAACAATGGAATGACCGTCCAATCTCTGAGAAACTGTCTGCTAAATACTAAACCAATATACGACTAACAGAAATAGGGAAAATGGAATGTTAAACGTAATAGGGACCGTCCGACTGACAAACAGACACAGAGAAGTATGGAGATACTTTAACAAAAACTATATTCTGATGACATATCAATTTACACTTTAAGACTTGATTTAACCAAACCCATGCAGCATGGTGATGCGTTAAGGTGTGTTTATATTTTGAAAATAACAGTCAACAATAAAAAAATAAAAAAACAATTATTCGCATTAAAAAAAAATTATGTATACGATAAAAATAATTTTTATAAATCAAGTCAATTTCATAATAATAATAATAATAATAATAATGAAAAAACGATAAAACATAAAAATATTTTTTATCGTTATTCGTTATCGTCTTAGTATAGCTAGGCATTTATTTACTCGAAAAATTTTAGTACCACTGAGGATTAACATCCATTCAAATTATTAGTGCCCCTTTTTATACGCCGGCGTTGCATTTAAGTAACATAATTAGGACCATCACTGTGCAATTTGGGCTTGTTCAGACCATTTTTTAAATCTTACCTTTAACATGTATATCAAAAGTCAAACATTTTTAAAAAGCCGATCATTTTAAAAAAGATTTTCCTTCCATGACCTTTGACCTTCAACTTCAGAAAAAATATTTACTAATATTTACAATGTCACAGGGACTATCCCTGTCCAATTTGGGTTTGTTCAGACATTTTTCAAAATCTGACCTTTAACCTCTATATAAAAAAATTTGAAACTTTAAAAATGCCACAACCATCATAAAAATGTGAAATTTGTTTTTTAATACAGTATGACAATACACATAAGGTTTCGCCTTGGAGACTACTATATATTGTACGTTGTTACATTAGTGGTTAAATTGTTGTTACAATAGTGGTTAATTATTTTTGTTACAACAGTGGTTAAATCGTTGTTACGATAGTGGTTAATGAATTATTACAACAGTGGTTGATTTTTGTTATAATAGTGGTTAATATTACATTAGTAGTTTATTTTTGTTACAACAGTGGTTAATGTTACATTAGTGGTTGATTGTTACGTTAGTGGGTGATACAGGGGAAATGCGTCGTGGTGTTATGTTCTCCATAGAATCGCGTCTAGGCTGACGACTGTCGTGTGTTGCCCAGCTTTCACTCCCAGCCACCACTTCCACTTTGGTACCCAGTGAGCTGTTACAGTGGCCAAATGGATAACTGTTCAATTGATGAAATAATAGTAAACAAATATTATGGGAATTATTTTACACTAGGTGAATGTACTGTATGTCTATTTATGAGGTTTTAATCTGCATATTGATTTGAGAGCAGACATGTAATAAATGAGGGCGTGAACACAAGAAAACATCTCACGCTGTAGTTAAGGCACCCCTCTCTACTGTTTTGCTAAGCAAATAAAAATATATTATAATAGAAAAATTGTTCGTAAAAAAAAAAAAAATATGGCAGGCCAAAAACAATAAAAGAATAAAAATAATATCAGTAATGATGATGATAATAGTAACGAAAATAAAAATAATAATAATAATAATAAATAATAATAATAATAATAATAATAACAATAACAATAATACGTTTGTATTATAATAATATAATACAATAGAAATAACTTTATTTAAGAAAATATTATCAGTAACAGTAACAAGATCAATTACAGTAATAATAACCGTGATAAAGATGATAATGATGATGATGATCATCATCATCATAATGATACTGACGGCGACGATGATGGAGATAATAATAATAATAATAATAATAATAATAATAATAATAATAATAATACTAATTGTAATAAAAATAATAATACAATAAATATATGTATGAGTATGAAAGGTTACCTTTTTTGGGGGCCATTTTGTCTTATAGATACAGATCACTTGCTGTCGGTTACTTCCCTTCTACAACGAAAATAAACAAGTAAATTGCTTGAACATCATACAGTGGTGTAGTATGAGGAGGCCCTATCTTAGGGATCATGGACGTTACAGATGACATTTGCAAAAACTATACACTTAATTAATATCCACGCCTTTCAATCATTTAATCAATCAATCAATCAATCAACTACTCAAGTAAATCGATCAAGTAAGCAATTACTCAATCAATCAATCAATCGAGCAGGCATGTTTCTAAAATTATACCAAAAGTATATACGCTAATTTATCCACAAAAAAGGGACAAAAAGACTAATTTAAAAAAAAAGAAAGGTTCTAACTGATTCAAATTTTAACATTTAATATGTTTTGAGAGTTATTTATGCTTGGAGGAAGTCAAAACTTTTAAGTATAGAAACTTGTTCATCCCTTTATTGTGCCACTTCCACTTTCTATTATGTTTGTATGCTGCTAGAGTTTTAGATGTTGCTGCGGTAGCTGCTGTTCCCGTTGTTACTTTTGCTGTTGCTGCTTTGCTGTTCTGTGCTTATACTGCTAGTTCTCCTAGTGGTGCTGCGGCAGTTGTTACTCTCCCTGTCTAGGCATACTGTTACTGTTGCTGCTCAGACTTCGGGTGCTCCTCTGGTGCTGCAGTTGATGCAATTTTGTTGCGCTAGTGTTGATGCTAGGGCTGCTACTATTGATGTCAGTTGTTGCTATAGTGGTGTTGTTGACACAGTACTGTAATTGTCTTTTTGCTCCATTTGGTCTTTGCGCTGTTTGTTCTGTTACTCTTGCTGTTACTGTAGTAGCTGCTGTTTTTGGCATTGCATTGTTGCTTCTGGAGCTGCTGCTGTTACTGCTCTTGCTACGTTGTTGCTGTTACAATTACCGTAGCTGTAATGCTGCTAATCCTGTGCTATTGTTTTATTTTTATCCGTTCTTAAGGAAAGTTACTTGTGTTTTTTTTTTCCAAAGCCCATTGTCGATATTTATAAATAATATGTTTTATATCCGGATTTGAATGGATTAAACTCTGTGATCTATTGAGGTTAGCTTTTAATCAATTCATTCAACAAATTATGAGTGGCGACAGAAAAATCACAGTTCTCTTTTGACTTCTTGAATTTGTTAACTTATTGCTGGATGATATTGATAGCATAGTCTGGTGTTGAGTCGTTGGGGGAAAAACAATAGACGAGTAGATGCAACTGTATTCTTGAGTGCATACATACATGCTTCCTACATTTTAGATATCCTTGTTTCATGGCAGTATATTGGTGTCCGTTTCTGTATAATAGTAGGTTGTTGAGTTGATCCCTGTCCATGTTTAAAATGGCGAATTGAGTCTGGGTTGCAAGTTGTCGATAATTGTGAAAAAAAAACCAAACTGCCAAACGTTCTAATTATTTTATCTCTACTGACGAATGTTACATAACTGTATTTTAATATGTAATGAACTGAAAAATTGTACTAAAGCATAATTATGTTCGATACGAAAACCTATACAAACAGATTTAGGCTCAATACCAGGCCTGTTAGTATATATTCCTATCGTTATTTTTTTGGTTGGCTCGCCTTTTATAATAATTCAAATTCAGGGTTTTACTTTAGAACCAATAATAGTTTATATTTTCATAAAGAAGGATGACGTATCCATGCAGCATATTAGTTATACACATACACCTTTGAGTCACTGAATTACACTACATCTTTAAACATTATCAAATATAGGCCTACAATTGTTATCTCATAGGCCTACAAAGTATTGCTTGAAATGGAAAGGTAATTACTAAATGAAATCGTTTCAAATTTTATAACATAAGTATTTATATTAAATTTCAAGTATTACTACTACTACTACGATGAAAAATTGCCTAAAATGCATGACTTTACCTTAAGATGGGTTTCGATGATGTTACGACTCCTAATAACAACCCTTATCGACAACTACCATTGATATGCACAATGATGGTAGATTGGTATAACCAAAATGGAGTTTAACAATGGGTTTACATAGGTGAGATATGAATAACAAAGAAAAGTGTATTTTCGGATATGGGATTTCCAAGCGTTAACGCCACCATGTTTTGATTGGTGTACATACCAGTATGACCTAGTTGTTTTTCGTTAATATTGCATTTATTTATTTTTGTATTATCTGTCTATCTGGTATTGGATATAGTACTATCTGAATAAATTAACGTAGGTAAGCCTGTATGTTATCAATTATACTATAGGTGAAACTTTGACTCTTTGAATAAATATTGTCTCTTCATGCACCGAGGTCATGTATTGATGACACAAATGTATTGTATCTTTTATAGACTAAAAAATATGGAAGAACACCGCTGGCCAAGATTATTATTTAGGGCTCTCTTTGCGCTTAAAGAAAAACTGAGTTGGAAATGGCTTCAAAATATTGAATCCATTTTAAATAAATTTGATCTACAAATGTTCTTTAACATTGACTATTGTACAAAATGCCTTAATGGCTTCAAAGAAAAAAATATTAAAAAAGATAACATAAGTTGGTATAACAATGCTTTAAGTAAATCATCCTTAAAACATTACATAAGATACAAAAGTGAACCTAAAATGGAAAAGTATTTATTAGAAAAGTGTAACTTTCATGCTTCAAGTTTAAAATTTAAAGCTCGTTCTAACTCACTACCTCTTGAAGGCTGTCTCTTATACACATCTAGATGTGTATAAGAGACAGTTCCTGGTCAATTGTATAAACCTTATTAATTATACTATTGCGAGTAAAGTTTTCGATAATCATTGTAAATTACTTTTAACGATGGCATGGAAAGAACGAAATGATATATATAATACTTTTCTATTGCAAGACTAATATGTCTGGTTTTAATGTTATTAAATTAAATTTACAATATTTACTCTGTTAGATGTATATATGTATATGTATGTGTTTGTGTATGTATGTGTATATGTATGTATGTGTGAATATGTGTGTGGGAGGGGTGTGTGTATGTGTGTGCGTCTATGCATGTATGTATTGTGTGTGTATGTATGTATGTATATGTAAGCATGTGTGTATGTGTGTGTGTATACATGTATATGTGTATGTGTGTGTATGTGTATATATGTGTATGTGTATGTATGTGTGTATGTATGTATGTATATGTATATATGTATATATATATATGTATATGTATACTGTATGTATATGTGTATATGTGTATATATATGTTTGTGTGTATGTGTATATGTATGTGTGCATAAGTGATGTATTAACCAACTTACTTATATTATTAGTATTAGTATTTATTTTTATCTCTATCACTATTTTTGTAAACCCTTTTTTTTATTTATATTTCGTTCTGCCGCAGTATTTTCTTACTATATTTAATCACAGTAATTAAGTTTTTACTGATTTTGTTATTGTTGCACGTCTTTACGGCTGTGCCTCTGTTATAAAAGAGAAGCAATAAAGTTACTTACTTACTTACTTACACTTAGGAAATAATTATGCAGTTGTGCTACGGCAATGGTTTACGGACAAAGATGGTGTTATTAAAACAGTTACTATTTTAGATAGCCTACTACTATTTGTACTGAACAAAGTATTTGTAATTAAAATGCTGAAATTCATATGTAAGCTAAATACCAAATTGTAGTCAAAACATGAGTTTATTTTTTTTCAATATTAGTCACATACAAAAAACAAAAAACAAAAAATCAGAAAAGTCAAAAAATTAAGTTTTCTTAAAGAATACTACGAAGCTGTTTAAGGGACATGATGAATTTTTATTTTATTTTCCTAATCCGTACGGGTTACATAAGGCGTACGTAACGTACGTACGTACGCCTTAATAACCCATAAGGCGTACGTACTACTTATAAGGCGTACGTACGACTTAAAAGGCGTACGTACGCCTTAATAAGGCGTACGTACGGGTTAGGAAAATAAAATAAAAATTCATCATGTCCCTTAAACAGCTTCGTACCAACGCCATACTTGCAAGTGGACGTGTGTTGTTTACTACTTACATTGGACAAACGGAATGGAAGGTAGTTTGTGATTGGCTGAGGGCCTTGCAGCTAAAAGGCCGGTTCCCACTGAACGCGATCAAGCGAATTTCGCGTCAAAATGTGGCGCGCGCGGCTTAATCGAAGACGCGACTGGCGTTTCCAATGTGAACATGCAAACGAATTTGTAGTCGAACACGCGAACGCCCAATATTCGAACTTCGACGCGGTGCGCGCGGTGGTCGCGGAGGCTTCGCCTGCGAATTCACAGGAGTTGATCCAAGACCAACTTTTTCGGATTCGCGAGCGAATTCGCGGCCGATGGACCAATCGCAAGGCTTAGATTCAACTTATGTCAAAGGTCAACAAGTCGCGACCATTGTCAAAACAGTATACAGATGTGCGAACGATTACCGACGAGTCCGTTTCATGCAAACTCTGTGGAACAGTAGGCTACCCTTGTTTAGGTCTGTGACAAGGGAGCAAAGAAAATATATATAAAAGGATTTGCAGAGACGAGTTGAGTTTCTCCTCTTTCTACCAGTAGGCCTGTCCAGCCTAGGCCTCTGATACCCTGCTACTACCTGAGACCTACAGTAGGGTAGGCTAAGCTAGGCCTACTGTCTACCCTTAGGAGGCCTAGCTCTAGGCCTTGAATAAATATACTAAAAAAAAACTATGTTATATTCATTCTTTGATTCATTATAGAGTTCTGGGAATGTTAATCCTGAGGATTTTATCTGATTCGTCTCACAGCCCTTCTCCTCCGTCTATCAATGCGATAACAAAATCACTTCTCTGTTGCCACCCGCCATTTCGAGTTTTTGCGCGCGGTCAGCAGTGGGAACAGGCAAGCGAATCATTGGAAGCGAGACATTCTTTACCGAAAGTCAACTCTTGTGAACTTTGCGCGATTCGTTCCGATTGCCGCGTGACGCTCGACGCTTTCGCTTGACAAGTTTAGTGGGAACCGGCCTAGGAATGAAAAGAGTGAATATAAACATACAGTAGTTTTTTTTTTTAGTATATTTATTCAAGGCCTAGAGCTAGGCCTCCTAAGGGTAGATAGTAGGCCTAGCCTACCGTACCCTACTGTAGGTCTCAGGTAGTAGCAGGGTATCAGAGGCCTAGCTGGACAGGCCTAATACTGGTAGAAAGAGGAGATAACTCAACTCGTCTCTGCAAATCTTTTTCCACGCATTGTCACATATTTTCTTTGCTCCTTTGTCACAGACCTAAACAAGGGTAGCCTACTGTTCCACAGAGTTTGCATGAAACAGACTCGTCGGTCGTCGCTCGCACATCTGTATCTGTGCATTGTTTTGACAATGGTCGTGACTTTATTGTTGACCTTTGACATAAATTGAATCTAAGCCTTGCGATTGGTCCATCGGCCGCGAATTCGCTCGCGAATCCAAAAAAGTTGGTCTTGGATCAACTCTTGTGAATTCGCAGGCGAAGCCTCCGCGATCACCGCGCGCACCGCGTCGAAGTTCGAATATTGGGCGTTCGCGTGTTCGACTACAAATTCGTTTGCTTGTTCACTTTGGAAACGCCAGTCGCGTCTTCGATTCAGCCGCGCGCGCCACATTTCGACGCGAAATTCGCTTGATCGCGTTCAGTGGGAACCGGCCTTTAGTGGGAACCGGAAGCCAAACTTCATTGTTACTAAGTCGTCTTCTGATTGGCCTTAATAAGGCGTACGTACGCCTTATTAAGGTGTACGTACCGACGTACGCCTTATAAGTCGTACGTACGCCTTAATAACCCATAAGGCGTACGTACGACGTATAAGGCGTACGTACGACTTATAAGGCGTACGTATAAGTACGCCTTAGTAACCCATAAGGTGTACGTACGATTTATAAGCCTCAATGTGTTCAGTATTTTTTGAAGTAATTCAGTCTCAGTTTTATTTTAAATTATTTTTATGTAGTAAAAAACAAAACAAAACGAAAAAAAAGGGGAAAAAATAGAATCGAAATATTATATTATATATTTCTGTCTTTCATTCAAAGTCGATAAACATACATCTTGCCCTTCCTACTATGCATACATGTAGGCCTAGGTAAATAACACAATACACATTCAGTAAAGCACGGTCGCCTTTGGCTTACAAAAAACTACGGTATGATAGTCGAGGGAAGACGGGAAATGAGATTTACTACCTCTACAATCTTACTACTACAGTATTACCAATGTATTTTATTTAAAGGCTGGTATACTTATATCATATTGAAATATTCCACTAAAAACCGAATAACTTTCGTCCAAATTGTCACTTTCCTCGCGACATTGTTATATTAGTTAAAAAGTTTACAAGAACGCTTGTGATTGGCTAATAGCGTCACATCAATGCTTAACAGGTATGGTAAGTGTGCTGTGATTGGGTACTGCTTTCGTGAACGCAATTATTATTTCGAAGATGAATTCTCATTTTTGGTTACAGTTTCCCCAAATTTACGATTGCCGACAATTATCTTATGTTTCAATAAAACATTTTTGTGCGGATGCCAAATAGCCTGGATTGGTGGTGGGACACAGAATTCGTAAACTAAGCCGATTTTGGAGCCTCAACCCACGGTCTAAGGCGTACGTACGGGTTACATAAGGCGTACGGGGTACATAAGGCGTACGTACGCCTTATTTAGTCGTACGTACGACTTAATAATCCGTACGTACGCCTTATTAAGGCGTACGTACGGATTACATAAGGCGTACGTACGCCTTAATAAGTAGATGTGTATAAGAGACACTTACGCCTTATTAAGGCGTACGTACGTCTTATTAAGGCGTACGTACGCCTTAATAACCCATAAGGCGTACGTACGAATTATAAGGCGTACGTACGGGTTAGGAAAATAAAATAAAAATTCATCATGTCCCTTAAACAGCTTCGTAGGATATAATAATAATAATAATAATAATAATAATAATAATAATAATAATAATAATAATAATAATAATAATTAGGTAGTCCTAGGTTGTTATTATAATAATTTTATAAATTGAAAAGCATTCTTGAATATTATTAACAGTTTTTATTATCTTTTTCCTTCTCAAATATTTTAGGGACAAAATTTTGGAGTGAAAAATATATGTTATGCATGCCTACATGATAAATAAAATAAATTTCCATTATTTCATATGTAAGCAGCAGTATTGCATTGTATATTAAGACCCACTATTTGAACATTTAAACGAGTGAATCTGTTGTCCCCTTTGCTATACCACAAAAGTATTCCAGTTTCTAACTTTCATTTTGAGGTTAGTTTTGTTTTTGACACCTTGATACTATTATACAATGCATTGTGTTCGCCCAGTTTGATAGGATGCAGACAACTATTATACTGCCCTCCAATGGCAAAAGGGCATATAACTGACAATTTGCTGTATTGGAGATATATGTTAAGAAAAACGTGTAATTCATTTAGCCCTAAAATGTGTTTTAGTATTTGATTTTATAGTTAATGTATTCAAATAGACAAATAATGTCTCTTCCAGTGTAGTACACATTTTTTTTTATAAATATCGATTTTTGCACTCACAGGTCCTCGATCTAGCACCTTGAGCCAAAAAGACTCAACTGTCAGTTATATGCCCTTATATCTAGGGTTTTCTGATTCAAGACATGTCGACAAACTTTGGCAAAAGAATAATATAAGTACATAGTTTTTTAGTTCTTTTCAACGCAGTCAGATTTAAGTCAGATTATTCAAAAGTAACATTCAATATATAATTTCATATGTTAGTCTTCTATAAACTATCAAATAAATTTACAATAATACCAAAGAAACGCATTAAATAATAAATACTAAAATTTCAAACAATTAAAAACCCATGTATTTGGCTAACAAGTATACAAATGAGAAAGAGAATTAACAACTGTATGATGTTAGGTATCAACAACGCCGTTTTGGCTCAAGGTGCTAGATCGAGAACCTGTGGGTAGGGAGGCGCCTTAGGGACCCCTAGGGCAGAGCCATAGATAGAAAGAGTTGCGACATTGGGAATTTAAAAGCCCTTTTGTTTCAAACGCGATGCGCGTTCTGTGTCTAACGTGATTGCGTTCCTGTGTATAATATTGTATAAATACAATTAGCGGCCTCATGTAGGTCTATAGTTTAATTTCATTTAATCTTTTTAGCAGTCGAATTTCATGTAACTATTTATAGCTTATTTTTTAATGATTTCACTACTTTATATCCAATTTCATATTATAAATACTGTAATAATTTACTATTTTTAAGCAGTTCTTTAATCCTCGCCGATAGGCCGAGAGAGCCCCTCGATGGCAAGCATTCTTTAATTAAGCAATCCTTAAGTAGCTCCTATCATTTTTGCAAATAAATGATATGTGACGACCAGCAAAAATTAATTAAATACGTATATCAAAATGTAATTTCAATCTGTCAAGTGTATAGATGTTGCTCTTTAAATTTAAATATGAGCGAGCCTTATACAAATCTTTTGTTATTAATTTGATTATTTTTATTATTTATAAATATTGAAATAGTATAGGTCATTTGTCCGCAATATATAAACTGTGCTTTGCTGTAAAAAATTAATGTTATAAATTGTAAGTGTTAAATGATATACAGGATCTGTTTTTGTGTAATTATGTAACGTACATTTTATTGTATTAAAAGTCTCGCCTCTATTTTAATATTGTATTATGACTGTACAGTATGTTACTTTTAAAAATACAAGAGCGTGTCAGCTGTTTTAAAAAAGCGTCGTTTTCAAAATAAAGTTATAATAATTATATAAGAGTATGCAATAGAAACAGCAAATCATTTTTAAGATTATTAAACATCACCTTTATTTTCATTGTCATTCGTATTTATACAGGCTGTACAAAGAATTGAAATTAAGAACAACAATTTTTAATATTGTTTAGCGAACAACTGTTAAAGATCGTCAGAAAAGGGCAAAAAAAAATTATTATTTTTTTCTTATTTAGCTTAAATATTTTTCCGAACGCATCTAGGCGAATGAGAAAATAAAAATAAAA